AAAATAAAAATATTTAATTTCTTAATATTTCAAAGGCACCAAATACCCTTAGAAAAATCAATTGCATCAACTTTGGGAACCCCACTTAAGTTAATTCTTTTAAGGATCAACTCAACCTTATCTATAATAACTCTAGGTTCTAAAATAGAAATAAAATTCAATTTGTGCATAGTGATTAAATCAATTACTAATCTAAAAATGGTCTTTTCCAAGCTTCTCCACAATTTGAGAACATAAAATTCATTGATTAAAAGTTAGATGATCAAATTGCACAATTATTATGAAAGGGATATCTTGATAAATATTATGATCCACTATGATATGTGTATATCAATATTTCCTATGGTAGTTAAGGCATGGTCTAAATTAGGCAGAATAATAATAGAAGGCAAACCTTGATTAAGGAGGAACATTTCTTTACATACCAAAAAATGTCATCTAATTAGCTTGTATAAGACTTTTGCTCCTAAGGAGTAAAGAAAACCTAAACTTTAGAGATATTAACGAAATTGAGTTGGAGATTCCTTAATTCTTCGAATGAATTATGATCTTAAATTCTGAAGGTGAGATATAAATTTCAAATTAGCAATCCTTTAACAATAGATAGAAATCAAAAGGCATCTAATATTTGGAGAGCCATGTCTCAAATTTGTCCTCATATGTATAAATGTTTGTAGTATAAAATAAAAAATAAGATATTTGCTAAATTCATGAACTAGTGGGGTTCCTAGAATTAAGAATATTAAAATCCATATTGTTTGCCCCTTGAAGTTGTTGATTTTGATCTTCTCGTAAGTTTGTTTGCTTTGTTAAAAGGGTAGAAATGGAATAAAATTAGGTTTGTTCTCCCTCCTTATATTTGTGCTTGTATAACTAATATTATTCCCTCTAAATAGGGAGCTGAAAATGATTATGTAGTGTAGCCTATAACATCTAATGGTTAGTTTTCAATTATATTTGTTTATATTATGCTATATAGAGAGACCAACATCCTCTTGGTTTAATGTGTGACTCTTTTAAAGTGGTGTAGAATTGACCTGTACTTCTTAAAATTAATATTTGTCTATGAAAAGTTGCTTATGGTAAGTTACTTATAAATGAAGAATGAAAATATAGAGGTATGACTAGTTCTAATTTGTGTCCAAGATGTCATTCTACACCATAATGTATTATGCTTATGTTAAAGGACTATTTTTATGCTTCTAAAGTCTAGGACCATGTTATTTCCAAATCTAATGGTGCAAAATTTTCAACTCTAGGTTGAATAATTAGATCAATTTTAATAGGAGGAATACCAAAATTAATAACCATAATCAATAGAAGTTAATTTTTGGCATAATTGCTTGAGAATTTTGGAGTGATCGTAATTTGTTTGTTTTTTTTTTCTTTAGAAATTTGTATCTTTTCTTATTCATGTTTCAAGTTACATATACATTTTTTATTTAGTTTCCCTTGTAAGGAGACAATCCTAACTTGCTTGACGGTGTGTAGGATTTTGCTAATGTTAAAAGGTCTCCTAGGCATGACTAGTTAAAAATAAATGTAAATAAATATGTGATAATTGAAATAGGTGCTACAACTTGTGGGGTTCTTTTTCGTAGGGTGGATAGTGAGTTTGTTGCTAGTTTTGCGTAAAGTAAGAGTTTATTCTTCCATTGATACTAAATATTGGGTTATGTTCAATTTACAATTAATTAAAGCTAGGGGTGTTTAGTATGTCAGCTTAGAAGTTGATTTTAGAGAAACTCTTTAAATAATTTCTTCCATTCTAGTGTACGATGATTGTTTCCCATGTCTTGATGAATGTCATTAGATTATTATTTTAAGAAATGAGTCATGTTTATTGTATTCATGTGTTTTGTAAAGCTAATCATTGTGCAAATATTTAATTCATATGGTTCATCATGAGTCTAGTGGTTGTATTATTTTAAATAAGGCCCCTTCCCTTATTTCTCTTTCTTAGACATAATGTTTTAAAAACAAACCTTTCTACATTGTGTAATTAGGTTGTGTTTTTTCTCAAAAAAAAAGAATATATGTATCTTGAGTTGTTTCAAAAGTACAAAATTTAAAAATATTGAGAAAGCAAAAACAAAAAGAGATAGGACAAGCTTCCTCGTCCCATAAGTAGTGAGGTAAGGTTTTGTTTTTTGTTTTTTTAATGAATTTGTTATAAAAAGAAAAGATGAACATAAGAAAAACAGATGTGTATGTATAATACTAAATCTCCTAAATTTTAAAAACATAAAAATTATTTTTTGATATTAAAATATTTTGTGTAATATCATATATATATTTTATGTAATTTTTTATGATAAATTAATAGTTTAATCTTTTATTTACGGAAAAATATCTTAATCTCTTTAAATAAATTATAACAATTTATTTCTTTGAGTATATAATAATTTAAGTAATATTAACTTATTGGTATTGTAATTAGTTAACTTTAAAATTAATGAATATTATAAAAATAGAAAAATATATCCATATACAAGTACAATGTAGTTTGGTTCCTTTTTTCAATTCTTTATTGTCGATCGTGCAGACTTTTGAATGGCTAATGGAAAGATAAAATTAATAATAAATAAAAGTGTGTTATGGTACCTCTGAATTCAAGAGAGGAGATTATATATTTTTTTAAATTGAAGGATGTAATTATTTTAATATTTGAAAAATTAAAAGTATTTAATTTTTTTAAAATAAATTATTAATCATATTATTTATTAATATAAAATTAACAATAATAACTATTTTATGTGTGAAATTCTTACTTTTACTTTATGAAATTTTTTGAAGTTAAATCTTTATATCTTATGCATGCCACTTAAGCTGTTTGTTTTCTAAAACCATGTGATCCCTGCTGTTGAAGTTCGTCCAGAAGCACAAATCGAAATTTGATTGTTTTAGCATTATCGACAAAGCACATAGAATAAAAATATAATTCAATTTTTAAATAAAAAATTTAGTTAAATTTCTTCGTATAAAACCAAGTTTTGATTTTCTTGCTTTTAAAAAGTCATTTCCTTTTTTCTTCAAATCGATTTCAATTTCAATTGATGATTTTATTTAATCACGATTTTAGTGATGTGAATATTTATGACTATGAGAATATCTATCCATGAAATAGTGATATGAACCTCTCAAATATTTATTTTTGTATTTATTGAAATATCCATGTTTTTCAATCGCTTAATATTTGTTAATAAAGAGATTTTGTAGTCACCTTATTTAGAGAACCTGTGAGCCAAGTCACTGTTTTCGCATACAATGGATGAATTTTATAGAGAATAAAATTTAGGTGTTTTTAGCATGATTTATTACATAAAATTAAAATTTTATCTGCATAAAACTCTAACTTCAATTAACTAACAGTAGTAAAAATATTAAGCAGTTGAATAGCACTTAAATTTTATCTTTTCACTAATTCTATTTAATATATTAAATATTTAGTGCAGTAATATATGTCATTTAGCATTTTTTTAAATCTTAAATTATATGATATATTAAAAAGAATTATATTAAAAGTACTTTTAAAATTTTCATTTAATAGAATTAATTTTAAATATGAGGGCCAATAATTTCTTATGGTTTATTTTAACAGAAAATTAAATACCCATTTAAATTTTCCTATTAATTTTCTTGTAAATGTCCTGTTCAGTAAGAGAAAAAGACACAAGATCTGTTTTTTTTAGCATTAAACAAAAATATTTTTGAAAAATGAATTAAATTATTTGATATAATGAAAATAAAATTCATTTTAAATATAAATTTTACATTAAAATGTGTGTCAATTAAAAATTAATGTTGTGTAATCCAAATGCACACCTAAACCTAAAATAGGTGATCCTAGTCTCATTTTTTCCCCCATTACTGAATAATTAGTCAGAGAAAATATAAGTCTGAAAAGTCACAAATTTAATACCGTCAATCATAAAAGTTAAAGTTAAAAAAAAATCGACAAAAAGAAATAAAAGCTTGTTTATTTTCTATTTTTTTTAAAATAAAATATATTTATTAAAAATATATTTTTATTTTAAAATATAATTTTAATAAATTAAAGTTAAAACAAAAATAACAAACTCCCGTAGTTTTAGTATTTTCCATACACAATAGTCAATATGAACTTCTCAATCTGAGCGGAAGCTTCCAACAAACTTCCCAAAGTCATTACAAAATCTTGGGTCCACACAAACAACGGAAGAACAATAGAAAAAGGTGCCACACATATAAACAAAAGGAAAATGGTTTCTTTTAACAAGTTGATGACAATTAAAAGTAACTTTTTAAATATGTTTTTAAGGATATATAATAATGATAATAAATAAGACTTAAAAATAATTTTCGGTGATATTAATTTTTAAATAATAATTATACACAAAAAATTAAAATAATGTTTATAATATAAATCATGATAAAAAATATTTAAAGTAGTTTCTTCGTGTGCAAATAAGACTATTGAATGCACTAAAAAAGTGAATGACAAGATTTTTAACTTGATAAAAATAAAAAAATAAAAAATTTTAAATAAAATTATTAAAAAATTAATGATAAATAATATTTTTAAAAATTTAATTTTTAATTGAGTTTAATAATATTATATAATTCATGTAACTGATTTTTTAAATGAGATAAAACTTATTTTTTATTGTATTAATCTTGAATTAATGAAATAATATATAATAGACTTAAATGTGTATTTTGTTGTTTATATTTTTACAAGTTTTTAATTTTAAACTTTCCGCCTTTTTATTTTATTTTTTAAATTTAATATTTAATATTTTATAAACCGTTAAATGATGATATTATTAAGAAGTTGTTAATTTTTTAATTATGTTATTGAAAGAGATAAATGAAAAAGTGTGTTTTAGAAATATTTTATTATTATTTAAATTATTAACAGTATATATATATATATATATATATATATATATATATATATATATATATATATATATATATATATATATAAAAACATTTTTGGACATGTCATAGGTTGGGTGAGAAGACATAAATAATAAGAGGAGTGCCGCCACCGTTGCCCCACTTCCTTTTGCATTCTCCTCTTCAAACTCGTTCATTCATTTCTCGCATTTCCACTTTCCAAAGCTCTTTCTTTCAAGGTGAAATTCATTCGTTAATTCATTTTCCACCTCTAATTGTTCCCATTCTCTTGTTTCTGGTTTTCAGTAAAGGAGCAAACATCAGTAAAAGTTGCTTTTTTAAATCAAGATTTTGTGTAACCTTCAATCTATTGTGATTCTGTGACTGAATGAACTAGAGGGTGTTTCTTTCTTTTGCAGATCGAGCTTTGGAAAAGTTGATAAAGGCATTTGAGCAACAACTGTTCTCAGATCCTTGAAACTTTGTGTCATTTGTCGAAACAACTCAGTTGGAACACGCATGGCAAGCGCGTTGCAGCTTAATGGGGTTCAAGGGAACCTTGCTGTAACTTTGAGGAAGAGCTTGCAATGCACACCTCGAATTGGGTTTGCAGCATTTGTTGCCCCTGTTCCTCCTGCAAGGGGTGTTTCAAGCAATAGCAAGGTGGCATTCAGGGTCGCATGCAAGGCCACAACAAGTGATGTGCTTGAGAAGGATGTGAGTGAGAGTGAGAAGTTGAGTGAAACTGAAACGAGTTTCACTTGTGTTATGAAGTTTGGTGGCTCCTCTGTGGCTTCTGCTGAGAGGATGAAAGAGGTTGCAGGGCTTATACTGAGTTTTCCAGAAGAGAGGCCTATTGTTGTTCTCTCTGCTATGGGAAAGACAACGAACAAGCTTTTGCTGGTATTTGATTCCCCCGTTTGTTTCATGTTGGTTTTCCCCTTATTTGTTTTCTACAGCTCAATAACTGTTGTTAAGGAAATGGGGTTGCTGTAATTTTTGTTAGGCTGGAGAAAAAGCTGTGAGTTGTGGTGTTACTAATGTCTCTGGTATTGATGAGCTTTGCTTTATAAAAGACCTTCATCTCAGGCAAGAACAACGAGTTTTCTTTTTATTTTTTTCTATAGTAAATGTAACAAAAGGTTTTAAGAAAGAGAATTACTTTTATTTTAACTGGATGTTTTTACCTGCATCTCAGGACTGTGGATCAGCTTGGAGTTGACAGTTCTGTTATAGCAAGTAAGTTACCTTGTTCACAGTAGATCATTTGACAACGGTTGGATCATTTGAATATATTTTTTTATTTACTTTTAGATTAATAAGTTCTTGTCAGATCATTTCACCTGGCACGTTCTGTCTATTCATTTGTGTGTAGCAAAATAGCAGCAGTAGGGTTATGGAAGTGGAACATGCATTTAGTTAATTTGCTTTGGTTGCAGTACATGCTTACATGTTTTATTTGGTTATCATTATTGCTGCAAGTTTGTTATATAAATTTATAGTTGCTGCTTTCTTTTTCATTTAATTTTATCAAGTCACGGACTGAAGTAAGTCTATCACATGCCTTCTTTCCTTATAACGTGTTCAATGTTCAGAAATTTTGATATGTTTGTACTCATTTTTGTGTTTAACTTGGTGTTGCTTATGGAAACATTTCCAGAGCATCTAGAAGAACTGGAGCAACTTCTGAAGGGGATAGCTATGATGAAAGAGTGCACTAAAAGGACTCAAGACTATTTGGTTTCATTTGGAGAATGCATGTCCACTAGAATCTTTGCTGCATATCTTAATAAAATGGGTGTAAAGGCTCGCCAAGTATGTCTTCATACTTATTTAATACATATATTATAACTAAAAAGTTGTTGGTATTTTTATTGCTAATCTTCATAGTCCAACTCTGTGTGAAGTCCTCAAATTTTGATTTGTTGTCCCTGATCATAGTGATTTGTTGCTTATTTAATGGTCTGACAGTATGATGCATTTGAGATTGGTTTTATAACAACTGATGACTTCACGAATGCGGACATTTTGGAAGCGACTTATCCAGCTGTTGCAAAAAGATTGCATGGTGATTGGCGCTCTGATCCTTCAATTCCAATTGTTACAGGCTTCCTTGGAAAGGTATTTGTGATGTCTTGTTTTCTGAATGTTTGTTTTCTTTTCTTCTGGATTGTGTTACTAAAGCAAGAATTCTCTGATTATGAAACTGGTTTTTTGACTTGTTTTTATTTTTGAAGGCCCGGAAATCATGTGCAGTGACAACACTGGGTAGAGGTGGCAGTGATTTGACAGCTACAGCAATTGGGAAAGCACTAGGGCTGCCTGAGATCCAGGTTTGTGTATTAAAAACAGTTGTGCATGTCAAAATGGAGATAAAAAAAAAAAATTAACTTCAGTCACTTAAAACAGGTATGGAAGGATGTTGATGGTGTCCTAACCTGTGATCCGAACATATACCCACAAGCAGAACCTGTCCCATACTTGACATTTGATGAGGCTGCTGAACTAGCTTACTTTGGTGCTCAGGTATTTTCACAAATAGATTGAAAAAGTTAATGGGTTCTATTCTAATGCATTTTTTATTCTGTTTTTGTTTCGAATTTTTTGTTATAGTTTTTTCATAAATGTGGCTTTATTGATTTTTTTAACAGAAGGAAAAATTTATTATAGAGAAAAGAGAAAAAGGCATAACTAGAAAACTTTGGGTCCAATAAAGTGATAAGAACCTTGGGAGAACTGCAATTTATAAGTTAGGCATTGTAGTTGAAGAGTCCAAGGTCTTATAAACCTCAAACATTAGAATCCTATACTTAATGCGGGACTTAATACCTTGCAATTGGATTCTCACATTCCACAATACTCAACAGCTTCGAAGCCCAGGCAGGCTGGTTGTGCACTAGCCCCTTGACTAGTCTTGGGTGAACACTGCAATGCTGGAGTCACTGTTGGTAAAAACCAGTTATGATGGCACCATGGTAGAAATGACGTTTTTGACCAGAAAAATTGGATTGAGCCGCCGACACGACTTGGTCCAAAGATAAAACCCGCAAGCCCAAACCCTAAATCACATAATCACATCTCTTATTTCTCTCTCTTCATTGCTGTTGTGCCACCAACCGCGTAATACTTGCACTCGTGAAGTGTTTCTTCCATCGCAGAGGTTAAGCCCTAATGGCCGACAGTTCTCGGTGTGGGTGTGCATTTTTTAAGTGTAATGGAGAAAGAGAGAAAAAGTCCGATCTTGCCCTTGCTACAATGTCATTTAGAATTTTTTTAAGGGCAAAGTGGACTTTTGCGCCCTTAAAGTTTTTTCTTTCTCTTCTCGAGCGGTTCATCCACATGTTCTCTCCATAGTTGTTAATCTTGGATAGTGGCAAATAGCGGCTAACCCCTAAAACGCTATAGCGCACATATAGCGAGATCACTGCTATTTAAAAATTTGTAATATTTATATATGTCTATGTTATGTGCACAAAATTTAAATATAAATACTTAAGAAATTTTACATAATCATTATTTCAAGTAAAAGTACAAAACAATATGGTATGAGTGTTATTAAACAAAAAATGTTTCCTAAGGATAAAGTTAAAGTTTAAAAGTGATTTGTCTCTAACTCTAATCTAATCAGATCTAATAATCTAATCAGATTCTGTCTCTAATTGAAAATCCTCCTCTTCATTGTCTTTGTCACTCTCTGCACTACTACTTGTGTAAATGCGTTCTTCCTCTTCAGTTTCTTCATCTATTTTCATTTCTTGCTCTTCATCTTGCATAATATTCTTCCCCTTTCTAGAGCTAGAGTAGTAGTAGCTTTCTTCTTCAATATTGTTTGTTGTCTAGTGTAAGCAACAATAGCTTCAGCAACAACTTCCTAAGTTAAATTATTATCATCAAAGACTAACTCATCTGTAGCAAATTCCGTATTTTCTCCTCCCATTTCTCAAATCAACCACTCATTGCAATCGTCAATATCATCCAATGAATAATGAGATTAATCACATCATGACTGTTATAACGATCTAGCAAATTTTGGTTATACTTGATATAAACCAAATCTTGCAACTTCTACCTCTTTAATTTGCTTCTCTTCTTAGAGTGAATCTAATTATTATTAATTAAGAAAATGTTAGTATCTTTTCTCAACCTATTAATATAAATTTAAAAAAAAACTATTAAGTAGAACTTAGTTAGTTACATGTTCAAAAATACTCCAATTTCTTTCACAACCCGATGAGCTACAAGTCAAGCTCAACACCTTAATGGCCAGCTTTTGCAAGTTTGGAACTTGATTTCCATAATTCCTCCACCATTAAGTTATAATGCAATTAAAATAATTGACATTATTTAATTAAAAAAATAAAAAAAAACATTAAAAGGAAATCAAACTCTTTTGATTTAAACTAACCAGGAGCCAAAGTATGTCTTTGTCTTATAACTGCATTCAAACCAAAGATTCCATCACCTCTTTTGTACGTGGCCAGCTCCATTGTAATTTTATCCACCTCTTCTTCAGAGCTACTCAATCTCTCAATGCACTTGTATAGTCTATGTGTCACTTCAGGATCAAACTTAATACTTGCATTGGGAATAGTAGAATTTGGGGTTTAAGAAATGACCTGCAACATGTAGTGGGTGATGAAGTTGACATTCCCACCTTCTATCAATGATCTCAAATACATGCTTATACTTCATTTTTATTGAAGGTTTTTTCAATGGCTTCCTTAGCTCTATCCATTGCTTCACATATATATACTCCATTGCTGGCCTTTTTTCATTGTCTACAAGTTTTAGTACACGCACAAGATGCCCCATCACCTTAAGAGTGTACAAGACTTCATTCCAAAATGTTGGCATCAATACAATGTTAGTTGCCTTCTTACCCTTGGTCACTTTGGTTATTTTTTATTTTAACCAATCATTTGAAGTGAACATTTTTCTAAGGTTGCTTTTTTGTTTTTGCAACCTTTGCAAAGTAAGGAATGTTGTTGCAAGTCTAGTGACTATGCCTAACTAATTCCATTTTTTTTGTGAACTTTCTCATCAAGTTCAAAGTCAAGGAGTGGTTGCATATAAATCCTACAAGAGAACAACCACTTTGTATGGTTCTTTTGACCTTTGGAATCTTCCCAATATCCTCCAACATCAAGTCCAAACAATGAGCTACACAAGGAGTCCTACAATGGCAGTCGTTAGAGACAAAGTTGTGATTGCTGATGTTGAGGAAGGAGAATAGATTGAGAGATGTTGAGAATGAGGAAAGAGACATTGAGGATGAGGTTGGGTTAGAGGCCCGTTTTGTTTCTTCCTTGAAAACTCACGTTTTCTGCCATGGCTGCTGTGCTGCCGCCATCCTGAATCTGACATTTTCTGCCATGGTTGTGGCAGTTTGGGCGAAAACGGCCACTGACATCTACCATGGTGCCACCATGGCCATTATTTGACAACACTTGAAGCTACACTTGTTTGAAGGTAGAATTGTGCATGGCATGCATATTGAAGAAACAGCTGAGGCACTGCAATTGTGTGATAGGAACACACACAAACAGCAGAAATAGTGCAGGTAGCAATACTCGAGTTAAGTATTTTCTGAGAATAAAACTAGATATAACTGAATGCAAATTACAAGAGTAGGAATAGAGCACTAAGTAGCTCAAACACTCCAAAGCCCAATAACTAAAACTTCCATACCATAAAACTCCTACCAATTACTCAATAAATACTAACATAACAGAAAATACCAAAACTACTCCTAAAATATTTTTCATAACAGAAATTATTTAATCTACTCCTAAAATCTCTTATTTCTTAATCAGCTCCTAAAATCTCTCATTCATTTGAATCCTCCAAGTTAGTTACAGCTAATTTTCTGTTTTCCTTGAACCTCTCCTTGTATAAACCTTCCCATGAAACTGATTCTTTCCATAGAGCTGATTCCTATCAATACTCCCCTTTTTAAGTACCACCTTGTCCTCAAGGTGGAAATGAGGAAAATGTAACTGAATGTCAGTCACCCTTTCCCAAGTATTTTCAAACTCAGGTAAATCTTGCCATTGAATCAGCACTTCGTCTTCTCCTTAGTCATTAACTCAAGTTGATATGACATTTGCTGGTTCAATCTTCAGCTCCCATTCTCCAGTAAGGCACTGAGGCAAAGGTTGGTACTGTACTTCTGGACTTAAACATCTTTAAGCAATGAGACATGAAAAACTGGATGCACTAAGGATCCTTCCGAGAGTAGTAACTTGTAGGCAACCTTTCCAACTCTTTCAATGATCTCATATTTTTGAAAGTATGGGTACCTGTAAGGTCTGATGTTCGGAATGGATGCGCCTTCCTTCAAATTAATGGAATGATCATGAGCACGTTGAGGAGGTAGCCCTTCAGGAAGGTGACAGATATCATCATATTGTTTGAGCAGCTCCTTGATATCATCACGTATTATTTCCACATTTTTTTCTTGTTCTCCAGATTCCCCCATTGGTCCTTGCATACATGGTGTAACATAGTAGCCCTCCCCATCAGCCTTTATCATTTTCAGTGTGGATCACCATGAAGCATTGGTCGTTTCCAAGGCAGGGTCGCCCTGGATGCCCCTCCAGTCTTCCCTTATCTTCCATTGGAGATATGATTTCTGGAAATTCCCCCTTATATCTCCTAGACTGGCTATCCATTCATACCTCAGGACCACATCCGTCTGCCTAACTCCAACACAAAGAAAGATTGAATGATGGAAATTCCCTACATCTCAATTTCCAAATTCTCACAAAGACCCATCCCGCTATGGACCTCACACGTACCTACCTCCATCGTAAATGGTAGATCTCTTTTTGGTATCTGGAGCTGAGCAACTAAGGGGGCTGAGATGAAATTGGCTTCAGCTCCCGTATCCACCAATACTATGATCTCGGAGTCAGCCACTCTTCCTCGGACCTTTAATGATTTGTTGAAGGTTGTGAAACCTTGCAAGCTGTTAAGAGTGAGCCGAAGGGACTTCATGGCTAATTGGGGTCCTGGTTCTTCCGTCTCAGCTTTTTCCTCGGCTGGGAAGTCGTCTTCCACGTCCGAGCCTTCCACCAGTGCAAGGTGATAGTGTCGAAGCTTACACACATGTCCTCGATCCCAACGCTCTCCGCGTTTGAAGCACAGCCCCTTGCGGCTGCGGTCTTGAAGCTCTTCCTGTGAGAGGCGTCGATTTCCGTCCTTGCTGGAGCTCTCATTTTGCTTTGCCGGAACATTTGGGGAAGATGCTTGCCGCCCTCCGTTTCTAGAATGTGTTAATTGGGGCTTAAACGTAGTTGGGCTTTTATTGTGACCCGACCCATGTTCAGAGAGCCCAACACTCTCCCCTCTCCATTCTTTGTTTCTCTCTTCAAGCATAAGGGCCTTGTCTTTCACTTCAGCTAATAAGCCCAATTCTAAGCTCTTTATTTCGGCCCTTAATCCACCTCTGAGCCCATTTATGAATATTCCCCTCAACATCTCCTTGCCCACCTGGCGCATGGGTCCCGAAATCCTCTCAAACTCCTCGATGTAGTCTAACACTGTCCCGGTTTGTTTCAGACGCAATAGCGGCCCGTAAGGATCCTTGATCACCCCTGGCTGGAAACGACGCGTTATGGCGTTGCGGAATCCTCTCCATGATGGAGGGTTTGTTCTTCCCATACCTGATACCAATACAGTGCCTTCCCGTCCAAAGCCAACAGCACCACTTCAAACTTTTCCTCTGCTTCAATATCATTAATGCGAAAGTAACGTTTGATTTTTACAAGCCAGCCCAGAACATCATTGCCGGTAAAGACTGGGACCTCCCTTCGCCGATCACGAGCATGATGCCGTGGAGGGCTCTTGTAAGCATAGTCGCGTTGCCAGTTGGGCCACGGAGGGCACTCCCAGTGTTGAGGATGGCCATCGAAGGATTGAGGAGGGCTCTGATCGTCGCGGTCTCGTGACCTCAAATCACGGCACTCATTGTGAGGTGGGGAAGGGGTGTGGTGTCGCCCCTGATCACCTTTGAAACCCCCATTCCAGTGGTCATTCGAGTCCACTCGGGAAGATGACCGTCGTGGTGGTGGAGATCGGCCGCGCAAGCGACGGCGTCGGTCGTTCTTCTCCTCCAGCAACTGCATCACACGGTCCAATTTCGTTTGCAGCTCAGCAACTTGATCCTCCATACTGGCAGCTTTCGCGAGATAAAAGGCCCACACAACTCCCCACGTCTAGAAGCTGTGATACCAATGATAGGAACACACACAAACAGCAGAAATAGTGCAGGTAGCAATACTTGAGTTAAGTATTTTTTGATAATGAAACTAGATATATAACTGAATGCAAATTAAAAGAGTAGGAATAGAGCACTAAGTAGCTCAAACACTCCGAAGCCCAATAACTAAAACTTCCATACCCTAAAACTCCTACCAATTACTCAATAAATACTAGCATAACAGAAAATACCAAAACTACTCCTAAAATATTTCCCATAACAGAAATTATTTAATCTACTCCTAAAATCTCTTATTCCTTAATCAGCTTCTAAAATCTCTCATTCATTTGAATCCTCCAAGTTAGTTACAACTAATTTTCTGTTTTCCTTGAACCTCTCCTTGTATAAACCTTCCCATGAAACTGATTCTTTCCATAGAGTTGATTCCTATCATTGTGCATATCATTTCAATTAATCTGCATGAGTGCTGCAAAACTGCTTTGAAAATTCTGGACCATATGAACAACATTCATCTAAACATAATGCTAACAAGCTTATTGGATTCTTAATGGGACATGTTAGCTAACATTAGAAAATAGAAACATTCTGTATAATATAACTTATGTACAATGTACATAACAATATGGAATTATCTTACTAGGTACTAGAGACTGAATGATAAGATTTAGCGCCTGTTTGGTGGCCAAGATAAAGGTAGATAAGATAGGATAACTAGCATATCCATTCTAAATCAAGTGTTTGTTGAGTCAGGATAGGAATAATTTATCCTGTTACCTATCCTCTCCTATTGGATTAGTATAATTGCTATCTTGAGAATATGACTAGTTAGAAAAGGAAGAAAGGATAACAATTGTTTTTTCCAAAATACCCTTAATTTATTTTATTATCTCTCTCTTCCTTCTCTCTCTCTCTCATCTTTCTCTCTCCTCTCTATTTTTATACATTTTTAAAAATATATTAAATTATTTTTATATATTTTTAAAATTAAAAAATATTTTAAATTTTTTATATATTAAAATTTAATTACTGAAAAACAGAAAAAGTAAAAAAAAAATATTTAATTTATTAAATATAGACAAAAGGGTAATTTTGTCATTTTCTGCGTAATTATGTCATATCTTCTTTTCTATCAAGTTTGTACCAAACATTGGATATGATAAAAAATTTATCATGCTCTTATATCCTACTCTTATCTAACCCTCTTATCCTCTGCTGGCCACCAAATGGGCCCTTAATGTGTAATCACAAATCTGCAAATCTTGTCTGAGAGTGTATAAACACTAGGATAATCATTGATGTGAAAGAAATAGAAAAGAACTTATATTGTCGGTCGAAATAGTAGGAGTAAAGAGGCATTGGTCCATACAAAGGGTGAAAATTGGAAATGGTGAATTGTTTATGTTGGATAGGCATTGGATATAGTGGAGGTCTAAAGGAAGGAGCTTGCCATTCCTGACTGTACTACCCAAAACTGCAGGAGAATCATATACCAATTATAGAGAGATGAGTTTCTTAGTAGCTGCATTAGAAGTATTAACATTAATGCCAATCAGGTCACTTCACCTTTTTACTTTTGGCTGATATAGTTTTGGAACTGCATGCCAGAAAATTATTGAATTACTATCTCTGTTAATAGTTGCTTGGTGTTAAATCCAACTGTACTGCATGGTTGCTATGAAATGGCTAGCAGACTCAGAATTTTTCATGGGCCACAAACTAGGTTGTCCATATAATGTTTATATGCTGATGCTTTTATGTTATTACCTAATATTTTACTGAGCCCAGTACAAAGGATGTTATTTCATATCACCCATGATGATGTGAGCAACATGATTGTTGTATATCCAATGGATGGACTTGTGCCTTGGGATATCAGAGTAATGCCATTGAGGTGAGTCTAAATATTTTATTTCTCTGATTCACAGGTTCTGCATCCACAGTCTATGAGACCTGCTAGAGAAAGTGATATCCCTGTTAGGGTTAAGAATTCATACAACCCTAAAGCTCCGGGTACTCTCATTACCAAGGGACGAGATATGAGCAAGGTTTGTAAATTTAGTGTTTGCATAAATAGCAAATCCCATTATCTCAAGTTAGACTCTGACAGTGTCCAAGTTTTTCCTTTTCTACCTGCAGGCAGTATTAACAAGCATTGTTTTGAAACGGAATGTGACCATGCTGGATATAGTGAGCACTCGCATGCTTGGTCAGTATGGTTTCCTTGCTAAGGTGAGAGGGCCTATAAGACCTGTTCTCCTAGTGGTTTGATTGAATCCGTTCCAGTTTTCACATTTCTACATGTACAGGTGTTTTCAATCTTTGAAGATTTAGGCATATCAGTTGATGTTGTAGCTACAAGTGAAGTCAGTGTTTCCTTGACATTGGATCCATCAAAGCTTTGGAGCAGAGAGCTAATTCAGCAGGCAAGTGTAAGACACTTGTATTCGTTGATTGGTTTGTTAATGAGTCATAATAGTTTTATGGTGTTTTAATTTCCTTTCTTCCAATGTCCCTGATGACCTTGTTAGGTGATGCCTATCTGGTTGATATCATGTAGTTTTACACTTGAATAATCAAATGCTTACTCTATGTCTATGAATATGTTAGCCATAATGTTCTAATTGGCTGTCATTCTCCATCTTTAAGCAGGAACTTGACCATGTTGTTGAAGAACTGGAAAAAATTGCTGTGGTGAATCTCCTACAGAATAGATCCATCATCTCTCTCATTGGAAATGTTCAGAGATCATCACTAATATTGGAGAAGGTTCTGTATTGTTTCTCTTTATTTAAATGTATTTCCTACTTTAAATTGTATTTTCATGGTGAATTCAATTGCTTTATTATATTATCACTATCTGGGCCTTTTCCTCTCTCCCTTTCGCTTTATGTGTGGGGAATGTTGATAGAACTCCATGACAGAAGCAAACATCAACAGAAAAGATTAATGCAAATGGCTAGGTATTATTTGGCTATCAGGAATGGTACCCCAAATGAAGATACAATTCCTTCAGAGTTACAATTCCTATACCAGAGGTTTCCCTCCGATCAATTAAGTCATCGAATACCTTTCTGCCTTCTCTCTCTTTGATTCCCTTTTCTTATAGTAACCCTCCTGCTGTATAACAAACTTCTCTCATGGCATAAGAAACTTCTCCCCCACTCTCTAACTACTTGCCATGCTGGCATTCTTTCTTCTAGAATAGACATGCCATATAATGGGCCTAGTGGGACCCATATCCGTCAACCGAACTCATTCCATATTATTATGCAGGGTTTAACAAATGTTGTTATGTTTTCTGTGGGTATATTGGTGCATTGTTGATCTTGGAATAAAATCCACCGGTTGTATTATATGCTTTTACTCGCAAATCAATTCATGTCCACATGCAATCTTATGTTTCTGTAACCAGTCTATGTTAAGCTCTTATCAATGATTGGCATTCTATTGCAGGCTTTCCAAGTTCTTCGAACCCTTGGTGTCACTGTGCAAATGATCTCTCAGGGTGCATCGAAGGTATTCCACTTTATATTGTTTTTCATTATATTTGCTATAAGGAATTGTAGGCCATTTCATCCTTTACGCAAAACAAGAGCTTGCATGCATCCTTACAATGTTCACATGGCATGTGTTAAGTGATTCAAAATCTATTAGGCACTTTGGAATGTATGATACTACTTTTGGCTTTTGCTCTTTTTACAAGGTAATTTCTAAAAGATTTGTGGTTGTTATCTTATGGTACTTTATAACTTTTATGAAAAATTTATTATTTTTTTCTCATTTGTCCTTAATAAATGGAGTACTGGAAACTTAAAACCATCAAGGGTAAGGTAAATGTTGATAGTAAAGTCTAAGTTTATCTATTTTTATTAGTTTGTGTAATTTAGTTATATGTCTTATAAAAAGGAAGAAAGGGAGTATTGCACACAAATATATTTTTTTCTTGGCTGTGTGTGTGTGATGATGATGTAAGCATATTTTGTACATTTTTGTTGATATTAGTATTAAGGGTTGATCTAAGCATACAAAAGTAGTTTGTTTTTATAAAAAAAAAAACATTTATTATACTTTTGAATTTTTGTTGCAATGAATACTTTTATATAATAATAAAAAAAAACTTTTCTAATAAAATCATACCACTTTCGGACGATGATTAACATTTTCCTATGTCATATCTCCATACCATAAAAGTAGAGGCACTTTTTATGTTTTATCTGTTTTTGTTTTGTTGTGTCAGGTGAACATCTCATTGGTTGTAAATGACAGTGAAGCAGAGCAGTGTGTGAGGGCTCTCCACTCAGCCTTCTTTGAGAGTGAGCTCTCAGACTTGGAGAAGGATTACCAAAACGGAAATGGTTCTGTTGCTGAATTATCTTAGGGACATTATTGGGCCTCAATTTTTTATCCTAGTATATATTTTAATCTTACATGCTAGAGTCAACCAAGCATTTTTCAAGTCCTCTTAGCCTTGTGCCATTGAGATGCAGCAGAACATGTGCTACCGGGAAGATAAATGTTGGTCGGGGAGGAATTACGAAGCATTAGTGTATAACTAGGCATGGTATTTTTTTGGTAGTTGTTTCCAAAGGGTTAATAACTAGCTGCAAAGCAATTATTATTTACTATATATTATTGGAAATTATGCAACTCTAGAAGCTCCATGTCTACCAAATTCAAATTCTTTTGGGAAATTGAAGGTATTAACATACATACATGTAATCAATGTTGTGATTGAACAGGTAAGTTTATGGTTCAGGTTCAACTAGCAAAATGAAGCGGCAGAATGATCAAATATGCAACTTATATCTAGTAACGTGTGGTTTCTTTAATTATTTTCCCAAGAACTAAGAAATTTACTTAGTGATATTAAAATTTATTACTAATTTATATATTTTTAAAAACCATCTTTAATTTTTTTTATCTAAATTACTTGGTGTGAATGAGAGATAATTATAGTTCGTCATTTTTTTCATGAGAAAAAATAATTAATTTATCGCATTTGCTTAATGGTTTTATTGAAAGAAAATTAATGAAATGGACAGTTTGGAAGGGCTCTTATAAAAATAAAAATAAAGTAGACCCTAGAAAAATTTCTTATAAAAGTATTAGTAGGGTTTATACCTTAAAATCACCCCTTAGTTAGGCATTTGTTCCCTTTGTTTCGCCAAAGTTTTATTCATTCAATTTTAAAATGTCCAAACAGCGAAACCTGGTATGATTTTATTTCATTCAACCCTTTTTCAAAGGTCTTATAATGGGAAAGGGATTGGGTGATTTTAGCTGAGTACAAGTTTGGCAGATGCTATAGCCCAGCTGAGAAGATAAACCTAATTTCGCAAAGCTATAAGCAGCAATATTTGCTTCCCTCCAAATGTGAAACCATCTAACATCAGAGTCATGTTGCTGCTGGCTTTTTGTCCTAAACTAAAGAAAAAGGTTAAGGACAAAACATAAGTGTACATTGGTATCGTTGATGTTATTTTCTAGCAAAAAGTTAAAAGTTTAGTGTCTAGAGAATAATAAAGTTCAACATTAAAGATCTAACCCATCATTAAAAGTCAATACATATTACGGGGATAACATTCTAACTTCAATTTGAGAACACTACTCACCCATCTGTATTTAAATTTTGTACAAAGGTAAATACTAAATATAACTAAGAGCACCTCCTTCCTTATAGAAAAAAAGAGTTAGTACACACTTTTGTAAAACATTTATTCAAACGTACTCTTATTTATTGATAAAAATTTAAAAGAATTATAAAAATAAGAGAAAATTATTAAATTAGGAATGAAAAATATTAAATTAAAAGTGAGACTTACATAATTTTTGAAAATTTCAATAAATTTTATTTAATAACAAAATGTATTAAAAAAAAGTGTGTTGTGAACGTTCTAAGAATTATTTTGCAGATACCTTTATCCCATGTCTGTTGTATTCCATGAACAATCGCTCATACTTCTGCGTGCATTACTGTATAGCTTCCCAATCTGCACAAAAAGCTTCAATAAATCTACCTTCACGATTCCTCATAACTCCACCACAAGCTACAGCATGATTTGTATTTACTGAACCATCACTATGTGATATATGTAAGAAAATAATGAGAAAATACCAGTGGGAAACGTGCCAGAGCACTGTTTTTAAACGCAAAATCTCTATGATTTATTGGGCTCTTCCAAGAAATTTTCTCCGGCAAACAGAGCACCAAAGAGAGAGACTAAGAGACTTTGAAATTTTGCCAGAAAGTAAAGAATTATAAGGAATATCTCGACAATGGAGCAATTGATTTTCTCTTAAAACAAAATATATAACGTAAAAACTTGAATCGAAGTATTACCGTTCCATCGTATCTTCTAAGAGCAATTGAATACATTCAATCAATGGAATGCTTTTCAAAATCAAGTTAAATGAACGTAAGGCAAAATAATGTAGTTATTAAAGTCAATTAATATAATTTATAATCAAAAGATATAAACAGTAATAGGAAACAACTATTAAAGTTTATACATGTGATCTCAATTATTTAAATACACTAGTATTTTTTTTCCGTGCACTACGACTGTTATTAAATTAAAATTTCCACATAAACAATTAAAATCATACGGTATGACTATTTATAAAGCTAATAAATATTATAAATTTTAAAAGAGTAAATTTCAATTATTAAATATAATTAATTGACGTGTTAAATTTTAAATATATTTATTTAATTTTTTAAATAAATTTACAGCAATAGTCCACCCAGAAGCCCTAGATGAGAATAAACTCTTTAATCAATCTTCAAAACTATATTCATAAGAAATTTTAATTTTTTTTATTAGTTTTAACTTTTCAAAAATAATATCTATCTTAAATATCTTATTTTTTATTATCATTTTACATAAAAACTAAAATAAAAAACATTTTATATATTTTAAAAATGATAATGAATTTTTAAATTTTAATAAATACCTTGTTTATATTATTATTTCAACTACAGATATAAAAATTTACTATTCATCTCATCCACCTTTTTTTGGGCCACTAGCCAAGTAATATATAAAATGATGTGTTGACACCTTTAAAATAGGTGTGAAATGAGTTTTTTTGTTTTTTTTAATATTTTTATATAGTATTTCAAGAAAATATATACACAATTATGAAATTTTAAAAACAAAATTACGAAAATATGTCTAAATGCAGGTGCAAAGATTTAAAAATTTAGCAATTAAAAATTATAAAAATTTAAAATACCAAAAATAGATTTTTCAACAAATTACTAAAATTTTAGACTATCATATATATATATATATATATATATATATATTTACAAAATTCTATATTTTAGTATTTTAATTTTTTATATAAAAATAGTAAAAAAGGAAATATATAAACAAAGGAGATGCTGATATGATAAGAAATAAAAAAATATTAAATAAAATTACATAAATATAAGTATTAAAGTACTTAGAGAATATTAATTTTCAATAAATCCAAAACCTTCTTAGTTTGTGCCATCCGCACCATGTACCAAATATAAATGATGTCTAATGTTTGTAAAATAATAAAAAGTATTTTCTAAACTAATATTAAAGGAATTGTACCCTTTTCTTATTAAAAGGATACAATATCCTCTCTAAATTTATTAAATTTAATTTTATATTTAAAAGATTTAAAAAATATATTTATTAATTAATCTTTAAAGTTTTTTTAATTATTATTATTAAATAATTCTTTAGTTTTTAGTTTAAAGTTTTGCGTAAAAAATTTGAGTTAGTCCATTTTTTATGATTCATTTCATCCCATATACACCTAAGACACAATATCATTCACTAACTTCTCATGAAATTGATTTAAAGATTGATGAAGAAGTTTCTAGCTAGCCCATTTCTTATAATTCTTTTCATCCCACATACACTAAAAACACTATATCATTCACCAACTTCTCATAAAATTAATTTAAGATTCTAAATTACCTTCACTTGCATTTTTGAATCATTGTTCATTTTCAAGCTTCTTGCATTTCCTGAAATGATTAGCCCTAAATCATACACTACAGAATTGTGATTTTTATTACAAATTGAATAAATTTTCGTGTTTTGTTTGTGAATCTCTCTTGCTCAGATAATTTGTGAATATGTGATTTTAATGCACATTTGTATCATTACTAGATTTCATCCTTTAGTTAAATTTTGAATATAATTTTTTTTAGCATTAATGTATTGTCACTTTTAAAAAAGAGATTTTTGTTTTTCTTTAATTTTTTCACAACACCTTATGTCACATAATTTATATTCATATTTATAGTTTTATTTTGATTCCTAAAAACATTTCATATAATTTATTTCCAGAGTTTTTACTATTTTCTAGTAATTGAAATAAAACATAAATGCTTTAATTTCGTATTTGTTGTTATTCTAACCTTTGACTACTCTTTGGGCCATAACTTTCTCTATAGATATTATTTTTGACTGATTTAAGTTGCATTAGATTTTACACATCTTGAGCTTCAAAATGTGTGTGTGTGTGTGTGTGTGTAGATTGCTGGATTTTGAGTTGTTTTCGATTTTCTGTAATTTTTTGAAGTTGACGCAGATATGCTGAATCTTGTATACGAGATTACATTTGGACCCTTATTTTTGAATATTTGTATTTGAGCTTTTAGATACAATTGAGACCCAAATTTTAGCCATTTGATTTTCTTTAATCGGAACCTATAAATTGGCTAATGAAGCTCTGAATTAGTGTGTTATTTTTTCTTGGACAATTTTATAATTTGAATTTCAGATTTGGCTTTCAACCTTCTTTTAGAATCCTTATTTCTCCTCTTCATGATTTTTCTTCTTCTTCTTCTCATTCACGCTTGGATTAGTTTTTCAATGGAAGGCTAAACCTCTCATTCAATCATAGAATCCAGATAATGTAACTTCGGTTTGGGTTTTGAACTAATTGCTCCAAGTTTTTTCTCCTTTTCTCTAATATTTGATTTATAATTCATGATTACGATTAACTTTTTTGTGGGTTAGAATTCAAATTAAGATTCAATTGATATTCTGATTTGATAATTAAATTTGGGTTAGATTAAATGATAATTTGATTTATTACTTAATATGATTCAATTAGGTTATCTGATTGAAATTATATGTATTTGAGATTCTGTGAATTGATAATTCTTAATTTATTTTTCTTCAAGTTAATTGTGTTCATAATTTAATTTAATTAATTTGAAATTCATAACTCCCAAATTGTTACTTACATTATTAAAGAACCTAAAATTGAAGTCAATAATATAGATGAGAAATTTCAACATAATTGTGATGCATTCTTATAGTTAAAGGACACATTAAAGAATGATAGAAAGGTGACATGAGTTAATTGTTGGGGAATCATCGCTGATAAATTGTTGAAAGAAATGTCCAATGATTCAAGGTTTGAAAGCTTTCCTAATGAAGAGGAAATGCTGCTAGTAAGCGTGTTGTTGGATAGATTGAGTGATAAGTCTGTATTTTGACACACTTTTTTAGCATGTTCATACATACTTATTCTTGATTTGAATAGATTTCTACATTAATGACCTTATTATTTTTTGCAGATGAACGTGTTTAAGGCTACATGGGATTTATAGAGATTTTGGGAGTAAAGAGAATTATGCCAATATTGGT